TAAATTCTAATTATCACTACCGTGGATGGAGAAAAGCATTCAATGGAAATCTAAAACAAGGTAGAGTTCCACCTACATTGACAGGTGACCAAATGTTTGAAAAGGTGAAAGATGTGAGTACTCAGTTTGGAAAACCTTTTGCACATATGCTTGTCAAACGGGGGTGGAAGAAGAGGTCAATTTTTTTTAATTTCCATATTGGAAGTTGTTGTATGTAAGACATTTTCTTGATGTTATGCATATTGGAAAAAAAAAAGTATTTGAAAGTGTTATTGGTACGTTACTCAATATACAAAGAAAGTCTAAGGATGACCTTAAAGCAAGAAAGGACTTGATATCGATGGGAATAAGAAATGAATTAGGACCCTTGAAGAAAGGAAAACGAACGTATCTACCACCTGCTGCTTATACTCTATCTAGAAAGGAGAAAAAAGATATTTTTTAAGTTTCTAAGTGAAGTTAAAGTTCCAGAAGGATACTCTTCAGATATTAGAAGACTTGCGTCTATGAAAGACCTCAAGTTAAAGAGTTTAAGTATACATGATTTCCATGTTATAATGGAACATTTTCTACCAATAGGTATACGTTCTATTTTGCCAGAAAAAGTAAGAAGCGCAATAACTAAATTGTGTTTTTTCTTCAGGTCAATTTGTAGTAAGGTGATCAATCATGAGATATTACTAACATTGCAAAAAGAAATAGTTATTACTTTGTGTGAGCTTGAAATATATTTTCCTCCCTCATTTTTTGACATAATGGTACATATAGTTGTTCATCTTGTGAAAGAGACACAATTGTGTGGACCAGCTTATATGAGATGGATGTACCCTGTTGAACGTTATATGAAAATATTAAAAGGGTGTGTGAAAAACCAAAGTCGACCAAAGGGTTGTATTGTTGAATGATACATTGTTGAAGAAGCGATTGAGTTTTGTACTGAATATTTGTCCAATGTTCAATCCATTGGACTCCCTAAATCTCATATTGTCGGGAAAAAAAAGGAAAACAGTTAATTAAAAATAAAATTGTGACAGTATCAAGGGCTGAACGGGAGCAAGTGTATTTGTATGTTTTGCACAATGACCATGAGGTTGAGTTGTATGTTGAAATGCACAAGGATATTCTCCGAGGTTTAAATCCAAATAGAAATGAAAATTGGATAGTACGAGAGCACAATCGAAGTTTTATACCATGGTTTAAGGATCATATTTATTCAAAGTTATTTAGATCCCGCTTTAATAACAGAAAGGTTAATATGTTTAGCATATGGTTCAAGTTTGCATGTGATTTCTTATAGCGCATACGCAATTAATGGATACACATTTTATACCAAAGAACAAGATGATAAAAGTACTATGCAAAATAATGGTGTCACTGTGGCAGCTGAAGCAATGCACATTTCAAGTGTGAAAGACTTAAACCCTAAATATTAAAATCTATCATATATTATAAATGATCAAGATGAGAATATTAGAGCGAATGAATCATATATTAGAAATTATCATAATGAGGGAATTTGGATAAATCCATTTGTCCATGTTGTTAAGAGACAAGTAAATCATATTCCAACCAAGAAAAGAAAGAGATGTTAGTGAAAAAAGTACTAGTAAAATTATAAATTTTGTCATTCAATAAAATTATATATTTGTCATTTTATATATTCAATAAAATTATATATTTATATTTTTCTTTATTACAAGTCAAATGGCTAGTAACGAGGAAAACTCGCATGATACTTCTAAGAATGATAAAAATGAATCAGTTCATGATGTGGAAAGAGATATTTCACAAGGAATAACTATTGTGAAGGAAATCATTCGTGCAAGAGATAAAGGAATAAAATATGACGTACATTAGAATGCAACAGACCAACTAGTTGAGTCTAACGGTGCCCTTGTTCATTTGCAAATTCCAATCACTTGTGATAATTGGAGAACTCCATCGTTGAAACCCACTATAGAAAAAATATGGAGTGAGATACAGGTACCATATGTGATGTTATTTAATTTTATTGACGATTTTGTCTTTAAATTACTTATACTAGCACACTCTATGCATGTTTTTTTATAGAGGTCTTTTAACATTGGTGACGACCGAAAAAAATATTGTCTTCAATTGGTCGGAAGAAGACTCAGAGGGTTTCAAGCATTTTTAACAAACAAGTTTCTTAAGGATTCCTAAGGAAATTGTATTGAATCAAAACGTCCAAAGAAGTATGCAGATTTGATTTCACCTGAAGAATGAGAAACTTTTGTAGGCAAACGAAGAATCCAAGAATTCCATGCAATGTTAATTTATCATGAATATTGTATTATATACTTGTTTCACAGGTGTTCTGATATTACTTAAACTTTTTTATCCAGGATGTGAGTGACATAAATCGCCAACGAGTATCAAAACCCGTGTATCTATACAAAAAAGGGCGTTTGGGATATGCGCGCTTACAGCAAAGAATAGTAAGTATATATAAATGCTATGATATACTTGTTTACCATGTGTTATAATTGATCTTATATTTGTCTTAATGTGTAGTTAGGAGAGGAAAAAAGTGAAGAAACATCTCTTCTAAAACATGTTTTGTGGAAGGCTGCTCGTGTGGTTAAGGATGGAGTTGTTAAGGAAGATGTTCAACAAGTTTTTGAGCAATGTATAAGTATAACATTATTTCTTTAATAAAACCAAAATTTTATTAGCATATAATATATATGCTTTTTAATCTCCACTAATCTTTTTCGATATGCATATGAATTTCAGGAGAATCTATCTCAGTCTTTAACTCTAGCTGAAGACCATGATTGCAGGAGCATACTAAGTCAAGTATTAAATGTTTCTGAGTATTCCGGTCGTGTGAGGGGTAAGGGATTTGAGTCACTCCAAAAACCCTGTATAAGCATACAAAGAGTAAAAGTTCTAGAAATAAACAAGTGATGAAATCGTTAGAAGAATTAAAAGTTCAAATTCGTGAATTGCAAAAGGATAAAGAAAGATATATGTCAGAAAAGCGCGGTTCAGAGTTTAAAGATACTAGTGACAAAGATAGTATCAATTGTAATTTTCAACAGAAAATTCCCGAGATAATTATATATATTACCTTGAAATTTAATTAGCGTTATTTTTTTAATTGACATATATACACATTAACAATTTCATATTTATTATCGGTTTAGGACATTTCACCTTGTCAGCTATATTTATCGTCATCGACTTATCGCATGGTTGACAAGGGAAAAGTGCATAACACTTTAGAAGATGTACTTCACCATAAATCGCTCCCTGCTGGATTTTTGAAAGTATCGATTGATATTGCTTTAGATGGGGATGCGTTATCAGATGCAACATTGGTGGGAGACTCAATAAGATCGTATGTTGCATGGTCGTCAAACCTCATTTTCATAGATGATGAGGTATGTTGAAAACCATTATGAACCTTTTAGTATTCAAATGTTTTACAAGCCATGTAAGTTATTCTTACATTTACGTACATTTTATTTACATGTTAATGTTAGACTCCTACAAAATCTAAATCAAAAGATAAGGGAATTGTGCGGCACACCGAGTCAGTTGCATAAAAAAAAGGCACATTGATAATATATGCATAGAAAATGTTAATTCTATCCTCCAAATTCAAAAGCTTCATGATCTTATACATTACCTAACTTATATGATTTTGCGAAGATCGAGCCTAAAAACGCATATATTCCTCCATTTAGGTTGTGTCTTGAAACATATGTAGGAACAACAAATGTGATGAAAGGTGGTATTCGTGAATTACCTATGGAGGAAGGTATTTTAGTTTTTCGTATACCGAAACAATTGCTAAAGAGGATTTGGATAAGATTTTTCAATATTCTGAATAAGGCATCGGTGTTATGAATTCATACATCAGGTACTCTGATAAATTTTATTTAATTAATTGAACAATTTATTTACTCATTTCAATGAATATTCTAATGTTGATTATGTTTTTGTTTAAGGTTCTTGTATGACAGAAAATACATCTCCAAAAATAAAAGGCATTTTAAGCAAGCATAGCACATGGTTCTTAAGAAAGTCTAAGGGGTTGAATAAGAAATTCTCTAACAATTAAACTATCACTAATTTTCATAAAAATAAATCGCTTTATCATAACAAACTTCACAACTTTTTTGTTTCAAAGAATATAGTTTATAGGATGTTTTCTGTTTTGGGAATAGAACATCTTTTAATGTATCAAATGGTTGACAAATGTTATTCCATAACAAGCCAAACTTTGTTAATATAAAGGACACAGCCTAAAAAATGGCATTCTAATTTCCGAAGTTCGTTAAACCGCACAGGTTTAACTCGCCTATCTAACCTTGAAAACACGTAGGATAAAATAAAAGTTGAAATATAGTACAAGAAAACACATTAACTTTTATTTTATTTTATCCCTTACAATGCACATATTAACTTGTATTCTAAGGAACATATTAAAATTGAGATATAGCTCATCAGCTTTATCAGCTTATTTTATTTTATACAAGTTCAAAATTGAGAGAATCTCCCTCTTCAAAGGAACATATTAACTTGTATTCTAACAGCAGCGTGCATCAACAAATGCTGTAATTATTTATTTCCAAACCTCATTTTTTATTCTAACCTAAATTAATAGTACAAGAAAACACTTCCCCAAGCTCCATTGCTCAAGCTCATTGATATTTAGCTGTAAACCTTGCTTAATGCTTAACCTAGTGATCTTTTGTTATCTATATTATTATATATATCTGGTCACATCACTGACCCAATATTGTAACATTATCTCTGATGTTGAATGGTTTTTTTTGAAGAACTCGCTTTCTCCCTACACAAATGAGCACACATTTAGTTTACATTGGAACAGGTCAGGGATCACCAAATTGCCATTCAAAAACAACCAAAGTCTGCAGCAAAGAAAAAGAAAAAAAAGAAAGGGATGAGAAAGTAGAACTTATTTCACAACCTCCATTGCTCATGTATGAAATACAGGCCTCTGCCACACACTATTTCTCTATTTCTTCGGGAATGATGGATTTTCCCAAATAAACCTGTTGCATCTCCTCTCTCCATATCTGCAAAGAAAGCAATTATTTGTGTGATTCCCCTTATCAACACTCAACAAATCACTCCTTTAAAGTTTACATTACATTTTGGTTCTTAACATTTTTTTACTTCCTATGTTATTATTTAGGCTTTGGTTTCTCTTAAGAATTGTGGTTCGGTCTAATTCATCCCTACCAAACCGGTTTGTAAAATGAGGATTGCCCCCACTTATAAACATATATTGTCTTAACACCCCCTCGCGTCAAGTACTAAAAGACCTGGTGTAAGAATATAAATGGTGGGTGACCGATATAGAAAACCAATAGCAAAACCTATTAGTAATTGGTCCTACGGTTCTTCAACTTGACTCTGATATAATCTTAAAAAATTGTGGTTCTACCTAACTCAGCCATATAAAACCAACTTATAAGGGGTAGGCTGCCCAAGCCTTATAAACACTACAAAAATCATATCTCTAAGCTATTAAATTCAGCTCTTCAAATCCGAGGCTACAATGAAGGCAACCCAAATGCCGCAATTAGACGGTTAGAAACAGACTGCAGCAACGAAGGCAGGATATCCAACAGTTTCTATCATTAAGTATTGGTTCATATATTTTAGTACTTATAGTTTCTGCTAATCAAAAATAAATTGTCTTTATTTTCGGTGAATTGGTCTATTTTCGGTGAACTGGTCCTTTTAGTTTAACATATTGTGTTGGTCACCGGGACTATTAGAGTGGTGTTACTCTAAGCGGGACCAAAACATCAATTGTATGAACTTATAAAGACCCAGGAAAGGCAGAAAACTATAGTAATCAAAACAAATCAGGGAAACTATTCTGGATCAAAGTCTGCATTGAGCCGCGTTTTCATATATAGACCAAAAACAGTTTTGCTGATATATACCCTAAAAGCACCCATGTTCATGAATTAAAAATAAAAGTAATTGATGTAAAAGGATACAGCATGTTTTCTTTAGGAATTTAGATGACTTAATGAAAGGTAAAAATTTTATTTCCAATATCTTAGCAGTCCCAATTTGTTTATATAACATACTTAAATCATAAATGAAATTAGTCAAGCATATACTAATAAACTCAGTATTACATATGAAAAATTTAACAGCCAGGAAAAATTTTGTGTAAGCATTAATAAATCCTTACTGTTTCACGGAATTCCAACCGAATGTGAGGAACGTTTGTTCTATGAATGTCATTTCCATTTGGCCCTCTCTTGTAGTATTCCTTACCAATCCAGTGTGACTAAAACAAAAACAAAAAACAAAAAAAAAATTGATCAGTTGAGAACAATGAGCTTTAAAACTAAATTCTTTAAAGAGCATAAGATTCACATTTACATAAATATCTACCATCATAATCATTACACCATTTCATGTTATGCTAACACTCCAAAGTATATGCATTATTCATGTAGCAACCACTTATGGATTCAGAAACTCTTGTTTTATTTTCATCACATACAACCCCTCCAGTTCAGGGTTGTTGGACTTAGGTCCTCAAACTACAACAAAGTGCAATGCAAACCCCAAATTTTCTGAAGTGTGTATTTTGACCCTTTCATAAAATTTTCCGACAAACCCCTCTTGACATGGGCGTCACATTTTTTGTTAATAACTTAATGTTAACAGAAAAGTCATCTGATCAACTAAAAGGCAAACTTTAGAAAGTTTAGAAATAGAATGGTCTATAATTTTCAGTTATGAGACCAAAGTGCACCTCACCCACAATTTGAGGGGGTAAAATTTGGACAACTGGAGTTTCTCCTATAGCTGATACAAAAACTATAGCTAATAATAAAAATGTAAGACTTTGACATTTGAGAAAGAGAGACAAATAGAGACTTTTGAGTAATGTTTAATGGTAAAACACAAAGCACTAAACTTTATTTAGACTAATACTAAGGGGTGTCTGTAATATTAAAATTAAAAATAAATTGAGAAATTAATCCTACAGGATAATCTTAAGATAATTTTCGAAGGTTGCAGAAAATAATTTGTATATTTGTTTTTTAGTGCAATTATTGCCTCAAAATTCTGAGAATGGAAAACTCAAAATAAACATTGAGCATGTATGGAGTAGAACACATTAAAGATAATCAATTAATCATAATAAATATGTTAGAACTTTTCTAATATTTCATGGGCTACAAACCAATTGCAGATTTTGGTTTTATAAAAACGGAATGCTGCTGTGATCCATTTGATGATGTTTAGCCCTGGTAAACATAGTCAATAATACTGGGCTTTTGGACACTTAATACTGATTGTGTAGAACAAAGTGTGTGCCCAACCACTAGGGCCATGATGGAAGGTACAGAGTTATGTGATTATAAATAGAGAAGCTAGGTCCCCCTTTACCATCATTCAGACGGTTACGCTCCTTTGCAAAGGAAGACTCAATGCTACGTCTCGGCAATTGCCTAAAAGTGATTATTGTTTCAACAAATGTGTTCTAATGTCTTCTAATATCGATAATTATAACATTAAATATTGATATTATGCACAAGGTTATGCCTGTCTAAGACAACTCTGGATTTCTCTGAATACATGTAAGAATACAACCCATATAATGCCTTGGGGGCAGAGGATTTCATTCTCAGACGAGTCAGAATAAGAAATGTACCTTTAAAGCATGCGAAAAACCTGATTGATAGACTGAATTACGGGCAATCTCACATAAATCACATGAGCTCAACTTCCACACCTATAATAAATATAAAATGTAAGCATTTTTTATTGATAGAGTACACATTCACAGGCACAGAGAATGAGGTCTTACAGAAGCAGCTATACTGTACTCTTCAACCAACGGTTCCTTTGTTAAGTGAATTTGGAGTGGATCATCAGTTGAAAGTGATACATTCAAACCCCGTAAGAAGAACAGGGGAAGAGGATTTCTATGGTAGTCTAAAAATAGAGAGTTATTGCTCAGAGGAGACATTGCCAGTCCAATCTGTAAAAAAAGTATTCAGCTAAAAATAAGTAGCTGTTGCACTTATCATAACCAAGTAATAATAAATTAATAGAAGAGTCATACCTGGGCCAAATAATATAAATATTGAAGCACAGGCGACTTTCTCAAGTTAATTCCATGTGCAATGTTATGAGCAGTAAGGAAGGTAGCGGCAAGGTGGTCAATATCACCAGCCTAAAGTCAACATAATGCATCAGGTTACCAAACCACAATTAATTAACACAAAATATACTCCAATGTCCAACGTATATACCTCTCCAGAATGAGGACGAAATTTGATTGTAGTCATTCCCTTTGATTCACGGAGCTGAGAAATATTCATATTAGAATAAGTTAAGTGTGTCAACAAAGTCAAAAATATCAAATATTCATGAAGTTAGAGCCATAAAATGTTGAAATACGTAGTTAAGGTAGTTTATGAATTTATGGTCACAGGAAAAAAATTGAATAAATTACACTCCACTCCCTTGAGAAGTAACAATCTAGAGTAAATTATACTCCCCTCTCCTTAGAGATCATTCAACTACAGTCCTGTACCTTAAAAATTAAGTATGTAATAGTACACTTTAATCTATTTTACCATAAATAAATGTTTATATGATATCTACTAACTGAGTCATCATTTTTAAAAAATAATTTATTTCTTTTTAAATGCAATGTCAATGATAGTTAAATTTGAATATTTTATTATTAATTTAATAATTTATATTACAAAATTCATTTTCAAAATAGCCATAATTTATAACAGGATTTAAAACTATATATTAATGATATATTGTATCAAAAATAGATAAAAATATGCATTTAACTTTTGACTAATAAAATGAGCCAGCAATACCCTTTTTCTCTGCACTGTTATACTTTCGTCTCTAGATTATTAGGGGGGGAAATTATTAAGGGAGAGAAGGTAGATTTTAACATAAGAGGGGATGGAAAAGTATTTCAAGCTTCTCTCGATAGAGGGGAGTGTAATTTTCTCTTATATGTTTTATATATTTTGTCTTAGAGGGGAGGGGGTGTATATTTTGACATAAGAAGGGAGGGTAAAGTAATTTACTCAAAAAAAGCATAGACAATTGACAGTAAGATATGAATTACTACAATTGCAAGTGCAGCTTAAGCTATTACTTAGAATACATTATTACAGATACTAAGCAGTAAGCACCCAAAACTCTGGCAGCAATTTAGAGTCATGCTGTTGAAAAATTGCATACCTTGTTTAAGGTGTACAGATTCGCATAACAGTAATAAACATAGTATGAATATGCCGGATTGAATACATTAGTCCACTGAGTAGGCGTAGGCATGTGTTTTGTTGGTCGTCTTTCAGGTTTGCTTTCATCGTCCACCAAATCCAACCCAACAACCTTAAAAATGAAAACAATAACAGCTAGGTAGTTAGTAATATATGGCATTACTAGATGACAATAATTGATCCGGCTAAAGCAAAAATTAGCTCATGCAATGCATAGTAATAGTCCTCTGCACTCCTTTAGATACTTAATAAGTATAGATGATATATAAGTACTACAATCAGCAGTCAATACTCGTACAATCCATAAAGGCAGAACTCGTATAATATAAACAAAAAATAGATTCAAGACTATATCTTTAAAAATATAACAAAATTCTCCTTCATTTTCAATCTTTTGCATCATAATATCAAAACTGATCCCAATCAGAGGATTAATTTGATGTCAAGAAAAGAAAAAATGGATCATTTCAAAAAATTTGTAATTTTGTGGAACCAAACTGCTGACAATTGTATATTCCAAGAAAATAAAATGGATGTTTAACTGAAAAAATAAACAACACTATTATAGGATGTAGTTAAATACCAGACCTGTTTCAAGAAGACATGCAGCTGAGGATGTGAATTAGGGTCAACAGTAACCTCAAAAAGTGGAATGAAGATATTGTCAAGCATGTTCTGGAATGAGGTCACAATTCCCATGTCTTTGTATACATTATACAATCTTGGAAGCTGCAAGACAGATTTTATATGAACTAGCATCAATTGACAATAATAAAATCTCATGAATGGACTAAACCCTAAATGACAATGTTCCTGAAATACTCCAGTTACTTACACTCCTATGAGAATTATCAAAAGAATGATTTATAGACTAGGAATAATGTTTAACCTTGAAATATTAAACTAAATGTGAACAGACATGCACCATTATAATGTGGAACTGAAAACTGTGGAAGTGAGAACTGTAGAGATTACTGAATTATACAAGTGTGCAATTAACAATAAATCTATTATAGCATTTTAACAAATAAAATTAATCAGTGATTCAAGTAAATAATTGGACAATACCTGAATCAACCAAACAACATTCTCACTGTACAGTTCGTTATTCACTATCCAACTGGCTAGTTGGTCCCACTCACTTTGCTTCCTACCATATATTGATAGTCTATATTCAGCCATCTGTGAATGGATTCGGTACAAAAATACATGAGCAAATAATCTAGGAGGAAATAAGCATTCAAAAATAAAAATCAATATATGGTAACATATTATTCACAAAAAACAAAACTTTTAACATTAGGAAGGGAAGTGGGAAATCATTTATAGATAAAACAGAAATTAATGCCAAATTCTATCCCTTTAAAGCAAAAAATGCCTTATCTGGACACACATAAATGAAGTTATACGATCACACTTCTTAAATGGGATCTAAATAAAGAATACATGCTTATGGCACGACCACAGACAAGTTAGAGGCATTAACTCAAGCAAAATAGCAACAATAAACTAGCCCATGTTTATGGTTAATGTCAGAAGCTGAGAAGCACACATACAAATTAAGTTATACGTTCACCTTCCTTCAATGGAATTTAAATAAAGAATGCATGTTTATGGCACAACCACAGACGAGTTAGAGGCATTAACTCAAGTAGAATATTATATAGTGATCATGACAGAAGCTGAGAAGCACACATACAGAAGATCGTGACAGAAAAAGAGGAAAAAAAGTGTTCTATATATAGTGATTCAGTAAAGCACCTGATATTTACTGGCTTCAAGATCAGAAATCACTTGCTTTGTGAGCTCGCCAAGGAATCGACCTAATCAATGTGAGAGAAAATGTTCCAAAATTGAAGAAATTAACATAACTCAAAACAATAATATTCAAAATGAGTACTAATACATTTTATAATAGCTAGACACTTCTATAATAGCTAGAAAATGATGACTTTCTACAGTTATAATGCAACCCAAGATGCCTCCCAAGTTTGGATTGTACGAAACATAAAATAAATTCCAGCATTCTCTTGACACACCATCGACAATTTGACAGGCTCCTGACACACTGTCAACATGTTTGACTTTTATTCTTCATGACTCTTTGCATCTCAGATACTTATGTTGAATGCCGAATCTCTCACTAATTGAATCATACACAATTTATAATAACCACTTCACTTATTCCACTATATATCCCCATTTCTCAATTACATATTAATTGCAAGAAATGCAACTTATCAGTTCACCATTTCATCATATTTTCGGTCATCGCCACTGAACTACAATATTATATTTATTATACTCTGTGATTTTGTTGGTATAGATACCAAAAATATATCAGACACTATATTTTTGAAAGAGCAGCATATTGGGTACGTGCATCATAGATCAACATCTTTCTGAGAAAGCTTCTAAAAATTTGGGCAATTATTCCCCTAGAACAACTTTTTTTTCAAATACCAATGCACATGCCATCATGTATGTGCATAAAACATACAAGGTTTGGTGACTGAAAGGAGTCAGGTTGATTAGTTTCAAAGGTCATGGTGTTTTCATATATATAGTTTGTGTCTCTTGAATTTTAAGATGTAAAAAAAAAAAACTTATTCAAGACTTTGAAGTAGAACTTACCCTCTGCCTTATTTGTGCCTCAACGGCTGTGGTTAAAAGTAAGAACATGTTTGTAATGACTAAAATGTGTTGTACTTAAGCAAAATACCTTGAATGAGGTTGTCCTGCTTCAAAAATATCTCCCTGAGCCTACTTTGGCCACAAGGATTGTATTTAAGATTGAACTTGTCAAAGCGATGAAATGTACTTTTGTCAGCGTGAACATCCAAAAGGTCAACATTGAGATCGTATCTGTTAAAACAAGTTTGAAAAATATTAATTATGAAATTTATTTCCAGCACAATTATAGCAACAATTTAAATTAAAGTTCATTACCCAGTTAAATCTAGACTCTCAAAAACCTCTTTCAACGTCAGATAAGTTCCATCTCGAAATATTACAACCTGAAGAATGTTAAAATGAACATTAGTATTCAATTCATGTCACTTCCTAAGATATAACTCAATGCCAATGATATTTATTTTAGCATTAATTTTAATGACAGAATGCAATCATTTTGCACATACAAGTAATATTTATGTCTTAAAAAACAAGTGATTTGTGATTATATTCCTCCATACAGTCCATTGTCCACGTCCAAGAAAAAATAATAAAAAGGTTACTGCAAAGTAATGGTATATCGCAGGGCAAAGCATTTTATACAATCACCTCATCAGGCTCTTTCCTCAGCTTTGACTTTATGAATCTCAAAAGATGTTTCTGATTCATACATGCTGAGTGGTGGACATGTGTATCCACTTTTCTAACATTATAGAAGTCTCGATGTGGGGCACTTTTCTGGGCGAGAAATTCCCTATCCGCATTGAGCATCAAATGAAGATTGAATTTCTGAATACACACACAAGTTCTTATATGTAACTCGAACACAAACATAAGCTGCAGAATATTTCTTATATTCAGTAGCTTAGACATGTATTTACTTGTTCTAGAAGATTAAGTCTGTGGTGGCATAAAGTTCTGATATTTCCTGCTGCTATAACTCTAAGTATCTGATGAAGGTCAGTGAAAAATGTAGTTGCATCGGCAACAGGAAAAAGCTCTTCTTTGGCTGCAAGTAATAGGCAAGCATGCATATCAAATCCAGCTACAGCAATAACCTCAAAACTTGCAAACTAGTTCCTCATTAACTTACAGTTTCTATTGGGATATACATGAATAACTCCATCCTGCATTTCAAAGTAATGCTGTGGCACAACAGAGAAAATACTTGTTTAATTACAGGAAAAATAAAATGAGGAGGTCCAACTTTATCAGGTGGAAAATATAAAAGGAAATAAATAACATAACTCACATCAGACTTTCCTTCAGGTGTGTAAAAGAAGGGGTCTAGGTTGGGTTTTGGAGTACAGGGGTCAGATATAACTTCTTTCTCCCATGGAGCAACTGCATCTTGAAAAACATATCTTTTCCTCATTTCAAGGCATTCTTGAAGAATCACATAGGATTCAACTTCATCAGATGATGGAGCCTCTAAACAGAAAAAATAAAAATCAGTGTTTGCTAAAAGATTTTCTAGAATTGCAACTGTTTTCAGCAACAAAAAAAAATGTTTGGAGGAAGTAGATTTCATGCATGCCATGAGAAAACCATTCCGATAAGTATATTTGCATTCAGAGAATGACCAATATCAGACAGTTCATACCCATAGGAGTAATTCTCAATCGAGCAAAAATTTCTTGCTCTGGCTCTTTCCTCAGAATGTCAGCTGCTATTGGATCAGGCTGCACACCATGCAGATCACCAGAAATACTGTGAGAACGGATCATACTTGAAGCAGTGATTGCCATCTGCTCTCCATTTGTATTGACATGATTAGACATAGTCTCATATGGATTTTTCCCTTCTCCACCCTGCACACAGATGATTTCAAATTAAATATCAGAAGTGAATACAGAAGATTGCATTATATGATGATCGATGCATGGCTAAATATTAACGGCAAAAATGCTAAAATTGCAAGCCTAGAGGAGGGGAAGTATTAAAAAAGATGGAGAAAGAATGATTGGGACAATCACTTATCATCTGAAGAGTAAGCTTTCTTTATATATAGAATATCAGATGAATGGTAAGCGTCATTTGACAGGGCATTACAACTTACTGCATCTCCATTTGTGTGCAGATATGTAGCATCCATTTTGGCTCCGTCTGTCAAATCATCTTCATCATCTGATCCCTCTACACTTTCAAAGGCACTAGCACTTGCAACAGGAGACTTGGGAGAAGTTGGTCTTAAAATATTTCTCTTAAATGAACCAGTATTTGCAGACTTTCCTGTAAGATAAAAGTACTGAGATTAACACTTTCAGCTAGACAGCTCATGCATTTATGAAGGTGTTGTATGACGAAAGATGTGTACTATAAGGCAAAAGCAGCAGTAATCTAACACAAATGTTTTCAATCCTTCCCCCACCCTTTTCCTCAAAAGCCATAAGTTGATGCTACTCTACTACAATTTTATCCTAGCTCCTTCACAGTTAAAAAATGAAAGAATCAGAAGTATATTTAACTTCTATGGACACTGGGGCATATTAGTAACAATTAACAAAGCTTAAAGAAAATAAAGTTCTCCCAAATAGCAGTATAGTTGAATTCCAGCTGGGTTGGCAGAAGAATGTGGTCCAGGAAGATTGATCCACCAAGAGCAATTATTGAAATAGAATAAACTGAAAAAGTTTTCTCATTATTCTGATGTTTCAGTTTATTCGCTTGTACTATTTTCTCAAAGTTACTACGTAATTTCTATCTTACTATCCATGGGGCCTGCTGGGCCTAACACTTCTGTGCATTTTTAGTGAGCAATTTGTTGTTCAGATCCTAACTCATTATATGTCTGTAACGAAACCAGAGAGGTAGAGAAGATGTATTTACAAGCTACGCTTACAATTAACCATCACTCTAGCTCCAACAATCCATATGAAACAATAAACGAATTAAAAATAATCTCATTACTTAATTACATGAACAATTTCTTAAATGGTTTCTATAATTGTTGGTGGTAAAAATATGTAAAGAAAAACAGGTCTGTAAAATTTAGATTTCTAAATTGTTAAGGAGACCGTCTACAAACAGAAAACATCATCACTACTAATTCTTTCTTTTCTTTGCAGATAAACTTATCTTGATCAATAAAATATATACATGAAATCAGACCAGTGTTTATAATCTTTTCCTCTATCATGAAAACCTTTCGGACAATACTTATTGGTAAAATATATGTACTAGACTACTAGTTCTGTAAAAATATGTGTAGGGAACGTGTTTGAAGGAGGAAAACACCATCAATGGAGCAATAATTCCATTGCAATTCATAGAAATTTGACTTCAAATCAAATGCCCCCAATAACACTAAAATGCAGGGTTACAAATAAAAGTCGGTGACAGCCATCTGGCTGCAACATAACGGTTCTGATGTTGCAGATTGAGGCCCAAATCAACCTTATTTGATAGTGATTCTCCACAACACCAACAACTATCATAAACATGATTGGAACTGCTACCGAAAACCACTTCTAAAATGAAGAAAAGTCACATTCCTTTATCTAAAAAATAGTATCTACTTTATACACAATCCAAGCTACATACACCAATCCAAAAGAGGTTAACACACTACTGAACCAATTAAACACCAAAAATTGCCAAATTATAGTTCAACTAAAATAATCAGTCACATGACTCAACATCATGAGAACTTTTCAACAACAAAAAAAAAAAACTCGATACATCTGAAAATTCGCAAGTGAATAAAATACCTTCACGGAATGTTTGCAATCGAGGCAATCCTGCCGGAATCCCTTCAACGTGCATCAGTCCATTTCCGTCAAGTCCACCAGAAATCGCCGTAACATCCGGTAACGAACCCGAGCCTCGGCGATAACCTCCGTTCCCTCTCCTCTTAGAACCTCCACGCCTCCTCTTCGAATGCACCGGCGAATCGCCGTCGTCGGAAACTCCTTCCGGCTCAACCGTACGCGCGAACTCCAGTAGCTGCGTTAGCGTCTTGCGGTGCATGTAGTACGCCGATACAGCTACGATGGAGGCTCCGACGAGTGCCGCCATAGCCAAATGCACCGCGTGCGCATCCATGAATAACGAATTATCTCTCTCTAACTCTCTTAAGTTTCTCTCTATATAACAGAAATTTTGGAATAAAGAAAAACCCTACTGAAAGAAACAACAGTGACTCGACTCAGTATTGGTGAGAATAATGTTGATACAAAAACCGAGTTAGTGATGGCGAGTTATCAGTGTGTTAAATGGAATCAAGTGTGGTCACCAATGAGCTATTTATACAGAAACGACATTGTAAGATAGCGTTTATATCTCTCTTACTTTTTCTTTTCTTTACTGTTTTTGAGAATGTCCAATTATTATCCGTATTATTTTTAGGAGAGAAAGAGATTACACTCACTTTTTTGGGAGATATACTATGCATAAATAGCATATACTTTTTCTCTCTCAAAAATTAATTCCGCAAATATTATTGTTGATAATATTACCATTATTGTTTTTTTCCTTATCATATTATTAATATTTGCGAAAATATTATTATTAATAATAATTTAAAAATTGACATGTTTTATTTTCTTATCAAAATTCATTTCATCTTTTTATGTGAGAGATTTTTTTTTTAATATAAGGGTGTTCAATTTGAATTGCAAGAGAAGAATTATGTGTTTTGATTTGGTTCAATTGGCTTTAGAAATAAATCTGAATCAAACTAAACCAAATCTATGTGGTTTGAGTTGGTTCAATTTATTGGATTTTTTTAAAATTGTTATTGAATCTTCCAATCACTTATAGTGGACAAAATAACTTTGTGCTTAGACATTAATACATTATCAAATAAAAAACAAAAACTCTTCGTTTCTTGACAACAATTTACTATTTAATATACAAAAATCAAATAGAAAAAAGTGAAATAAAAAATATACAATAGTAACATAAAACGATGTCAAAAGCATTATTATTCTTGTGAATAGGATGTATTGAAACAAAATATAAACGGTTTCTTTATAGATAAGAAACACACAAGAGTTAGGGTTAACCGAGAAAACAAGGGAAAAACAACAAGGATTGGTTATAAACTGATATTCTTTCATTTCTCAATCAAACAAGATTACAAGTATTCAAGAAAGACAAATAATTTCTCTCTTTTGAATTAGGATTTTATCTTTCTATTTTTTCTTATGCAAATTGAGAGACTTAGCATGCTATTTATAAGAAAACTAACACACTAACTTAATGGGTTTTTTAACAATTACCCGTTACAAGTTAACTTATGGTACAGGCTAACTTAAACAATTGGGCTTACAAGCAAGGCTCGTCTCAATATGCTAACAAACCTATCAATATTGACTAATGCATATTAGAACAACTTTCAACTACAACACGCATTACTTCGACAACAGCATGTGAACAGACTTCGACCATACTAGAGTTCGATCAAATATCTCACAAATCTATACCTTGGATATAATTCTATAACATCAAGAAACAAACTAGCTTTCTTCATGCAGCTTTATCAACTGCATATAATGGAAAAACTTGCAACTAGGCAACGTCCTGGTGATCATATCAGCAGCATTATGATCTGTCAAAATCTCCAGCCATTGGACTTCTCCACGCTCGATTACCCCTCTGATGAAATGTAACCTCACATCAATGTGATTGTTTTGCTCGTGATAGGCTGAATTCTTCGACAAGTGTATTGTACTTTGACTATCACATTTAACAGTGACAACTCGACCTTGAAGTTTCAGATTCTTTGCAAAACCTTCAAGCCACAATGCTTCCTTCACAACTTCAGTTAGGGCGATATATTCCGCTTCAGTGGTTGATAAGGCAACAACCTTCTGAAGTGTTGTTTTTCAACTGATTTTATCTCAAACATAGTGAACATATTTTCAAAAATAGATTTTCTGGAATCCATACAACCTGCATAATCAGAGTCGACATATCCATCAATTGCTGCTTTATTATATTCACTCAAGGTTCCACCATGAATTAGGACTCTATCTAGAGACTCATTTATGTACCTTAGAGTCCACTTCAATGCTTGTCAGTGAGCCTTTCCAAAATTCTCCATGTACCGACTTACAAGACTTACTACATATGCTATGTTGGACCTAGTACATACCACAGTGTACATCAAAGAACTCAATATATTAGCATATGCAATGTTATTTATATAAGCTCTTTTGACATCAATATTGGGACACTGATCTATATTTAACTTGAATTGATGGTTTGTCAGAGTCACAATAGGCTTTGAATTCAACATACCAAACATTTCGAGAATCTTCTATAGGTATGCCTCTTGAGATAAGCATAATTTTGACTATTTTCTATCTCTTCGGATGTCAATCCTAAGCATCCTAGACGCAAATCTCAGATCCTTCATGTCAAACTCCTTATTGAGTTCAACCTTCACCCTCATTACATCTTCGACATTGTTGCTTGCTATTAGAATATCATCCATATAAAGTAATAAAATAACAAATGAATTACCAGGTCGAAATCTGAAGTATGGTCGAACTGACTTCTAATGAAACTTATGTGTTCCGTGAACTTGTCAAATCTCTTTTTCCACTATCGAGGAGATTGTTTTAGTTCATATAAAGATCTATTCAGTTTGCACATATAATCTTCCTTCCCTTCTTCGACATACCCTTCAGGTTGCCTCATAAGGATTTTTTTCATCTAGATCACCATACAAGAACGCAATCTTCACATCCATTTGTTCCAGCTCAAGGTTGAATTGTGCCACTATGGCAAGAAACATTTGAATGGATCCGTGTTTCACAACAGGAGAGAACACATCATTAAAGTCGACACCTTCTTTTTGAGTGAACCCCTTAACGACCAATATTGCCTTGTATCTCTTCGAAGTCATTCCTTCAATTCCTTCCTTAACTTTGAAAAATCCATTTACAGCTGACTAACTTGGCTCCAGCAGGTTTTTTGATCAGTTCTCAGGTATTATTATCATGAAGAGATTTCATCTCATCATCCATAGCCTTCAGCCATTCAGTCTTCTTTCGACTCCTCATACCTTCCTTATAGTCTCTAGGCTCTTCGTCTAAAACCTCACTTGCAAAGATTAAGGCATAAGCTATAAGATCTGCATACTCAAGTCTTTGAGGTGGCTTGATGACTCTCGTCGATCTGTCTCTTGCTAGCAGGTAGTCAGTATCAGTCTCCTCATCTTCGTGGGGTACGCAATTTAGCATCAACATGCTCCACCTCAACAGGAATTTCTTCCTATTTCGGCTCTTCATCAGCATCATTAGTTTTCTTGAAAGTCATTTCTAATTCATTGAAAACTATATCTCGACTGGTGATATACCTTATGTGACTTGACTCTAGGAACCATAGCCTATAAGCTTTAACTCTTTCAGGGTATCCCATGAACATGCATTTCAGAGCTCTAGGTTCGACCTTTTCTTGCCTAATATGAGCATAAGCCACACAACCAAATACTCTCAGTCTGTTGAGACTAGGTGGATGTCTTGAGTAAACTTCTTCAGGTATCTTCATTCCCAAGACAGTCGAGGGACATCTATTTATCAGTTAAGCTGTTGTCGAAACAGCCTCCACCCAAAATACCTTATTCAATCCAGCACTAACCAACATACATCTAACCCTTTTAAGGATTGTTCGATTGAATCTCTCAGCTAAGTCATTTTGTAGAGGATTAACTACTACAGTCTTATGCCTTGCAATCCCATATTCAACACATTCATTATCAAACGCTTTGTTGCATAACTCAAGGCCATTGTCAATTCTCAACCTCTTAACCTTTCTGTCAGTTTGAGTTTCGACTAGAACCTTCCAACTTTTGAAATTATCAAAAAAATTATCCTTCATCTTCTAGATGAATACCCATAACGTTATGGAATAGTCATCTATGATGGATAAAATATACCTTGCACCTAAGTGTGAAGGTTTCTTGCAGGCCTCCAAAGATCAGCATGAATGTAATTCAAGGATCCATGTGTTTTTTTGATTGCCTTTGTTAAACTTCTCCCTACATGATTTACCAAATACACAAGATTCACAAAACTCCAACTTTTCGACTTTGTCACCTCCTAGCAGGTTCTGCTTTCCCAATTCGACCAGGCCTCTTTTGCTGACATGGCCCAATCTCATGTGCCATAATTATGTTTTCGACACAAGTTGCATGCATGTAACGTTTGTCAAACCACTTACAACCTCAGACTCAAGGGTATACAAGCCTTGTTTCTTCACGCCTCTCAAGACTTCCTTCGATCCCTTCATGACTCTTAGGATACGTTTCTCTCCTTGAAAAACATATCCCTTTTTGTTGAATTCACCAAGAGAAATCAAATTTCTCTTTAAATCAGGTACATACCTGACTTCAGTCAATAACCCCGTTGACTCGTCATGGAGCTTGAATCTTACAGATCCAATACCTATAAATTTTCAAGATTTGTTGTTTCCCAGCAGCATCGACCCACCATCTTGATCATATAGCTCCTCGAACAACTCTTTGTTTGGAGTCATGTGTTAAGTGCAACCTGAATCCATAATCCACTCCCTTTTTGAGTCGCCGCTTGAAACTACAAGGACATCAGATTAGTCGAAGTCATCTTGAACAATAGATGAGTTATCATTATCCTTACCTCCATGATCTTTCAGGCGTTCAAGGCACACCTTTCTTGTGTGACCCCCCTTCTTACAGTGATAACATTGAATACCAGATGTTTTGCCACTATAAGACTTCTACTGACTTTTACCTTTCTTCTTGTCGAACTTACCATCATTTCGCAAGAATTTTCCCTTAACGGCCAAACCTTCGCCCACTGTCGAAAGTTTATGCTCCTTTTGTTCGTTCAAGTCCTTAGAATACAAGGCTTATTGAACTTCTTCAAAGCTCAGAGACTCCCTTCCATATAAGAGAGTTTCTTTGAAGTGAGCATGTGTTCTGGGCAAAACACACAACAACAACAACAACAATAACAATGCTTGATCTTCATCATCGATCTTCACATTAATATTTTCAAAATCAAGAATCCACTTGTTGAACATATCCAACTGCTTAGTCAATACTTTGTCTTCACTCA